ACCCCCTAGTCCACCCCGCACTGGGGCGGGGTGCACGGGGAGGACCCCGGCCCGGGCCGGGCGGGGAGGACGCGGGGTCCCGCCGGGGACGCCCCCCCCCTCTCCGCAGTGGCAGACCCCAGCTCGGGGCCAGGGGGGAAAACCCAGGATCCCGCCCAGGGCGCACTCCGCCACCACTGCCCGGGCCGGTTGAGCGGGTGCGAGGTCTGGGGTTGGGGGGTGCGGGCGCCTGTCACCCCCAGCGGGAGCCACATCCCAGGCTCCCAGACCCCAAAGCTACCTCTCCAAAGCTTTGCGGGGCTCTGACCCAGTGTTAGTAGGAGCCCAGGGTGCCACACAAGTCCCCACCGGGACTGGGCCTTGAACTCAAGGCCTTACTCTTTCACTTGCCTCTCCCTTGGCTTTCTCGCTTAAGGATGGTGCTCTACGACTTGAGCCAGAGCTCCACTTTTGGCTTGTTGCAGATTAAAGACATGAGTCTTGGATTTGTCTGTCCGGACTGGTTTTGAACTGGAATCCTCAGATCTCATCCTCCTGAGTAGCTAGGTTTACAGGCGCCCAGCGGGGCTTCTTTACCCATTTTTTTTCCTCCACATTCTTGTAGGAATTTTCTGTTGTTTGATTTTTTTTTTTAATTTGACTCTGGACACTCTGACTCGGGTCTTGAAACATTTCTCCTCCTTTTATATTTTACTTTCCTTGAAGACAATTGGAGAGGACAATTTGCAACAAAGTTTTCTTCCTAACTGGGCCTCTGGGGTCTGATTTATATCCCTGTCTTAGGTGTGTTTGAATTGCACCTACATAGCCAGTATACATTTTATAAAACGGGGGACAACAAAACACACAAAAAGCAAACAAAAAAAACTGAGTTCAGGCTCTTAAATTTCCTTTCTTTCTAAAAGGTTGTTCTCTAACTCTCTTTTAATACAAATTAAAATATGTAAATCAGTTATATCTATCAGGATGATTGCTTGAATTTCTCCAAGGTGAAGAAAAACATCTCTTAATTTTTTAGGACCCTTGCAAATTCCCATGGTATGTTAATTATGTTACAGAAAATTTCACAGAGAATTCCATACAGAAAAAAAACTAAAGTAAAAAGACATCATTCTATTGTTATTCTCTCAATAATCCTTTAAAAACAAAAAAAACCAACTCATTGTTAAAGAAAAACTTAGTTCACAGAAAGTACATTAGCAAAAAGTAAAATGATATATGCAGCAGAAAATATTTTTCTGCTTGAGCATTTAGGTGGGTCTTTACTACACCCAAGTTGTTTTAAAAACAAAAAACCACTTAATAGCTACTCAGGAGGCTGAGATCTGAGGATCATGATTCAAAGCCTGTCTGAGCAGGAAAGTCCAAGAGACACTCAGCTCTAATCAACCAGCAAAAAGCAGGAAGTGGAGCTGGGGAAAAGTGGTAGAGCACCAGCTTTGAGCAAAAAAGTTAAGGTACTGTCCCCAGGCCCCTGATTTCAAGCCCTAGAATAGGCAATAATAGTAAGTATGAAATAAAACATTTAAAACATATCTGAGTAGTGGAAACTCAATTAAGTACAAGCATATTTCAAGGCAGGATGCTTTTCATTTTGTTTGGTTTTGGATGACTTGAAATCAGTGACTGGTAAACAAACTGGATTTCAAATTAACCAGTCATCGTGTCTTCAACCTTCCATTGAAACTTTTGACTCTCCTTAGCTATAACAGCCATACCTGGGCCTCCCACCCATCCTGTGTGCATCAACACACAGCACAATGCAGCCTCTACTCTGCCTTTAATAAAACCATTAATAGAGGACTTCATAATAAAATGTGCTAATAAGCAGGGCTGCAGGACCAAAGCTGTCAAATATTGTGTGTAATACCGTAAGATGAGAACTTCCTATCTGGGCATCAGTAGGTCAGTCAGGTAATCCTCGCTACTCAGGAATCTTGAGAACTGAGGACTGCAGTTCAAAGCCAGCCAAGACAGACAAATCTGAGATTTTTCTCCAATGATGAAAGTGGAGGTGTGGTTAGAGTGGTAGAGTGCTATACCTGAGGGAGAAAGCTTAAGGGACAGTGCCCAGGCCCTGAGTACTGACACAAAATCAACAAATAGGGCTTCCTAAATAAGGTTAGCAGCTAATACCACCATGAACTCATGCTTACAGAGATGATAGAAGGTATAATGGACTATCATTGATAGGCTAATGTATCATTTTACCCATAATTCATAGAGGCTTTATAGAGACGCTTTCAACCCAGTGTAGGCAGTGCAATCATAGATTTCTATAGACAGCAAACTTCTTTCTCAAATTAGACTGTATTCACTGGTGCAGGAAGCATAGCCCTGTCCCTCCCCCTCGTCTGAGTCATTTTCTGGTTTAGTTGAAGCAGCAGCAGAGTTTCCCAGGATAATAGCAAGTGGCCAGGACTGAGAGCCAAACTCCAGAAAAAGAACAGAAAGAAGAGATGAAAAGAACCTCACTGGGACTCCAGGTTTTATAGCACAGAGAGGCCTGCCATGCTTTCTCCAAGTTTGTGTGGCATCTCTATTCCACTTAGGTGGGACAGTGAATTTGGGATTTACTCAAAAATAGACCCTATTTACCATGGCTCCACGTAGAATTTTTCAACCTGACAATGGGGATAGAGCAACATGCACTTGCAGAATTCATACTTCTAATTTGAGTCTTCCTGAAGCAACACCATCATGTGGATGGCAATGGATACTCTTTAATACTTTGGTGTTTAACTGCAAGGTTCACTAGGAGGTCTGAGGGAGTAGTATTTAATGTGTTTCAACATACAATGCATTGATTAGCATGAAACTGTTGTAAGTAAAGGAATATCTGTTGTGAGATAATCAAGTCTTCTCAAAGATAACCAATAAGTATTTTCCAAACCTATTGCCAAGTGCTAGCAGCTCATGCCTGTAATCCCAGAGACCCAGCAGGCTGATCTGAGGATCAAAGTTAGAAGCTAGCCCAGGCAAACTAGTCCAAGAGACTCCGATCTCCAATTAACCAGCAAAAAGCTGGAGGTAAATGTGTGGTTCAAGTGGTAGAGCACCAGGCTTGAGCAAAAAGACAGTAAGGGACAGTACCCAGGCCTGAGTTCAAGCCCCAAGAGCAGCATAAAAATAAATAAAATTTGGTGGCTTTATCATTTCCTGATTCACTGCTGTTCTTGCAGCTGGAAATGCTCATTGGTGTACCCCGTCTATCAAGCCGCCTGCTTCTCTCTTAGAGTGTGAAACACTTGTCTTGCCTAATAAAGAGGCCCAAAAGGAAATTAGATTTAATTCTTGTTACTTAGTCCCTCATTATTTTTAAAGATTCAGTAATTAGAGGAATAGTACCTTCTAAGATACCTTTTGTCCACTGAAGAGCAATTTAAGACATAAATTATTACAGAAGACCCTCTCTGAGGCTCCTACAGATCAAGTCACTCATGCAAATTAAGTAGAACATAGTCCTGAAAGATATTAGGACACAACTAAAAATAAATCAAGGGC